AGTAAATCTGTAAGGCTTGTTACCAGCATTCAGACATCAATTATGTTTGCTTCACAGCCAGACAGTACACGTGTGTGTGTGTGTGTGTGTGGGGGGGGGAATGTGATTTGGGGGGTGTTTGGCAATTTTGTCATATTACTTCTATAAAGGTATAGAATGCATTAAAGAGCATTTCCCAGTCAAAATTTATGAAAACAGTACAAATCTTTTTAGTAATTGTTATGTTGTGTTATGATTGTTTTACCAAACAATCCACCAAAATATAATATGATAATATATAAGCTAAGTGTGATGAAAAATCTAAATCCTAAATATTTAGCTTTGGCCCCAAAATGCCTTGATACAGCCCTGGGTGGGACGAAGTTTGAAAGGTGACATGAATTGTATTAAATATATAAATATTCCATGCTTATGTGGCATTAAGGATTGGCTAAATCTAAATTAAATGATCAATAAGATGTGATGTTCCATATAAATATGAAAAATCAATCTGATTGGTCTTTGAAAGTTTAATCAGAAGACTTTAGTTTCTTTGACTATTCAGGGAACACACACTTCTTATTAATCCAGACAGTCACGGATATAGTTTATAAAAATGCTCTTTAATTCTAATGTATGAATGAAATGATGGTTGTACAGGATGACAAATGATGAATGGAGTTATGGAGTGGAAGCTAGATGTTTTATCAGAACCTTTCTTAAGTATCTGAGAGAGTTTGTGGTGTCTGGGTTGTAAAACCTGTTTGGCTGTATGGTTTGATAAGTTTAAATTTATTTATAAAACCATCCGACAAATATGTGCCGATCTACAGACTCTTGTGTGAAGATTGCCAAGCAATTCAGGGTGTCAGGAGATTGAGATGGACACTGCCGATGGCGTGGACCTCTAGTCTGGGTTATCTTCAGGTGATGGCAGGAAGGTGGAGTGTCTATTTTGCATCTGAGGCTGTTTCGTGGCTCTTAAAAGAGCTGATGTGTCTGACATCACTCGCAAGCGTTGCAGAGAGGCTTTGACCTTGGGGTAGAAAGAGAAGATGTTCCAAATGCTTGCTCACCGGTTTGGCCGGACCAGGAGGCAGAGGGAGAACCAAACAGATCAGGAAGTGATTCCTGTATTTATAAACTTTTGTTTACAAATTTGGCAAATCAGAATTTGACACGTTTATGAGGCGTTAAGAAAATACCTTAGAAACCTACCTAATAGGGATCTAACAAAATATCGATATGGCAATATATCGTGATATTTTTTCCAGCAATATTATATCGATATTCAAAAGCCATGTATTGGAAATATCGATATGGCAACATATCGTGATATTGTTTCCTGCGATTATTACATCGTTTTTCAAAAGCCGTGTATCTAATTCTTGAAATAATTTACATGCAAACATTTGTGTATTTTCTTTTCATTTTGTGCAATTCATTCGCCGCCCGCTAGTTGGCAGCAGTGTGCAACGGGTTTTGTGTCCACCATTGAAATGTAAATCCCTCCATCATCGTTCAGATACCTCATGTTAAACATGTTACGTATCAGTTTGGACTGTTTATTGAACAATCTTACAATAAATTATGTTAAAAAAATTGCTTGTAACGTCTGACTGAATGTATCGCAATACATCGTGATATATCGTATCGTCTCCCCTGTATCGTGATATGTGTCGTATCGCCAGAATTTCAAAAATACACATCCCTGCTACCTATCCATAATATTAATCTTCAGATGTATGAGAATACTGATAGATGAACTTGTTAAATTAACAAATACTGATTTGGTGTCATTTAAGATCTGAAATGAATCCCTGCAGGAAAAACATTCATTTTAACACATCATTGATTAATGCACACATTATTCAGACACTTTAGGATTCAATAAGAGATGATTAAATGACTCTTATGCAATTATCACATTTTAAAAAGTCATTTATCGTTCAAAGAAGATGAACTTTATTCAGAGTGAAAGCGCATAAAGTCTCATCTTCAGCATGACTTTGTCTTCCATCTCTTATCATGACTAACTTATTCAGCTGCAAGGTCATAGATCCTTGCTTTTCTTGTTTGGAGGCCAGACTGATGTAATGCATCCTTGGATGTGTGATGCAGTTTGTGTCTGCAAATTATAACGTTAAATTCTGGCCATTTTGATGAAATACCGGTACTTGACCTTTGGGTACGCTTCACTTCTATATTATTGCTTTATCAAGTTAAAGTGTGTAGAGGGATGAATCTACCCACGTTTTCCTTTTCAGTGATTTTTTGTTTTCTTCATTTTATTTGACTTTTTTCCTGTTTTGTCTCTCATCTTTCTGCATCTCCTCTCAATTCTCCAGAAAAACTGCTGCCTGGCTTCTACTTTTTTCACTTCATGACTACCCCAGGGCAGCAGCAGCTCAACAGGTTGAGCGGGTTGTCCAGTAATCGGAAGGTTGCAGGTTCAATCCCGGCTCTGGACAGAGAATTCTGCTGTTGTGTCCTTGGGCAAGACACTTAACCCACCTTGCCTGCTGGTGGTGGTCGGAGGGATCGATGGCGCCTGTGCTTGGCAGTCTTGCCTCTGTCAGTGTGCCCCAGGGCAGCTGTGGCTACATCGTAGCTCATCACCATCAGTGTGTGATACACTGTAGTGTAAAGCGCTTTGGAGTCCTTACTCTGAGAGGCAGTACACAAGTGTGGGTCATTTATTATTTATGAGTTACTTTTGAACTAAGCAAATCAAATGGATCTACCAACCGCAGCATGAGCGTAGTGCGCACTGCAGCCGCGTCAGTGCCAAGTCACCGAACCACAGGTGATTAGATCTGCTGCAGCGGAGCGTGTCAGGCATCAATAAAAGACAGAAAGTACCTATGAGCCAGGGGTGATTCTAGCATCAAAGGTTTAGGGGTGCTGGGGTGCAGTCATGTAGTCAAATTTCATTATGTTTTACAGTTCCTAGTAGGTGTAGCTAACATTTCCTTAACAGAAGTTGAATGATTGCACCAGAAGGAGTTTAGTATATTTTAGTTGACTAAAGAAAATTCAAAACAAATTGAACCAATGCATTGTAACTAAAGTTAAAAATAATTTTAGTCAAAGACAAAGGCTAAAACTTAATTACATTATTTTGTCTAAATTAACACTCATTACCACAGATAACTCAAGTCTGGAGAAGTTCCGATGTGTGGTGGAGTTGTTAATGCTAACATTAGCTTCTACTAGCAGAGACATACTCTGCTGTTTCCTGGAAGCTAAACCAACAACAGCCTTCCCCGTCATGAGTCCAGATGGGTGAGTCCATGAATGTTAGTGACAGTGTGACATAGATCTGTCAGGATTTACTAATCGTAGAGTTTCACCGTCTGTTTTCTATCAGAAGCTGATGCGGGAGATAGGTGTAGGAGACTATTTTCATGTTTAGCCTGTATGAAACAGAGTGGCCGATTTTTATGACAAAAAAATTAACACAAGTAAAAAACAGTTTCTCAGTTTTAATTATTAATTTATTTTTTTTACCGTGTCCTGTCTGGCTGTGAAGCAAGCAGAATTGATGTCTGAATGCTGGTGACAAGCCTTACAGATTTACTCTCAGGTGGAGCATCAAAGCGTCTGCTTTTAATGTCACGCCTGATACTTAAAACTTTATTGTTATTGTTTTTGAATGCTTTGTAATTCCGACCAGACACTGAGTCAGAGGTGAAAGAGAAAGGAAAAGACAAAAGGTGGGGGGGGGGGGGGGGCTTTTTCTAGACCTGCAGAAAGAGAAAAACAAACAAAAAAGGGACACACAACAATACATCAGGAGCAAACTATCACTGCGTCAACTTGATGGGGAAATATAAAGACATTGTTTAACTGAACAATCATGATAATAAATCACAGTGCATTTAGTGCCAACCATAGTCTTAAGACATGTGTTGAACGTGCCCAAGCCCATACCTATGTGAGCACCTGTGTGTGTACACGTGCTTGTTTATGTAAGGTTTCTCTATAGGAGCGTCCAATAGAGAGTGTGAGGGGCCCCAGATCTGCCCCCCAAAGATGTGCAGGAGATGGAGGGAGCTCCAAGTCCCAGAGATCCAGGAGCTGCCCCAGAGCACAGGGACCCCAGGGAGACTGTAACCAGAAAAGCCCCCGCCCCCCTCGAGAGGCGCAGAGGATCGCCCCGGGGGTCACAACCAGCAGCCAGCAGAGTCCCAGGAGATATCAGCGGCAAGCCCACAGGCCCGCCCACAGCCTCCCACCCCCAAGCCAGCCGAGCCCAGAACCCAGCGCCCCGGGACCCAGGGGCGACCAGCCCCGCCAGGGACCCAGCAGAGCCCAGGGACTCAGATCCCACCAGGCAGCCACCGGGATCAATCGCCAAAAATCTTAAAGCCCCTGACCCGGGAGCCACGAACACTCAGGCAGACCAAGGCACCACACCCCACACCAGACGGCCAGATCTCCCTCCTAGCCTAGAGAAACTGTTTCTCAGTTAGCAGTTTTCCACATCAGTGTGCTGAACTTGACCTTCACCTGGAACACTGTGAGGATTGCTGCTGGGAATGTGTCAAAGTTGGTTGTTGGTGTTTCGTCATCAAAATTAAATCTGCAGGGAGAAAACAAGGACAGTTAGGCTCACTCACAGCCACCATCATCCCACTAGTAGGAGTGGTTATCAGCATCACAGCACACTCTAAACATCTGCTCATAGCTTCAGATAAGCAACACATCTGTGCACTGCATAAAATGAGAGCTCTGCAACTAGAAATAAAAAACCTAACTGTTATTTATCCATTTGACCGGATATCAAACAGCAACTGTATTTCAATCTAATAATGGTTGCTAGGTTTTAGCTTCTTCGGTGTGATCATTAATCAGCTTAAATGTCATCCTGTAAAGGTTTCCTCTGACCCAGAGTCCACTGAGCCCAAGGATGCTCGAGCCCCGTTTGAGTGAAAGTCACTCATGCATACACCACAACACATCTCGGTAGCTCTGGTCAGTCAGTACCTGCATTCCTAACAAACCGCGGCACAAATGACTCACTGGCCCCCGAAGAGCTGCATGCCCAGCAGAGCAAAGACGACGATGAAGAGGAAGAGCAGGAACAACAAACTGATGATGGACTTCATTGAGTTGAGCAGTGAAACCACCAGGTTCCTCAGAGAGTTCCAGTACCTACAGAGACAGGCGTGTGAATGCGTTGCATGTGTGTGCTCTGACCAGTGCACACACAAGCAGTCACTGTGACTCACTTGGTGACTTTGAAGATCCGCAACAGCCTTAGTGCTCGAAGGACACTGATCCCAAAGGAGGCTCCAGGTTTTATTGCAGCCCAGATCACCTCAAAAATACTGCCAATAATGACCTGTAAACAAACTGATTACTGCTGCAGGAACAGGTACTTACAGTCCGTGACTACGGCAACATGCACCCAGGTTCACATGGATGTGGCTGAAGGGAAATTCGACTCACCCCAAAGTCAAAGCAGTTAAACGAGGAGTGAAAATAGTTCTGGGGTCCCAGGCCGTACATTTTCATGGACATCTCAACCAGGAACAAGCCCAAGAAAACAAACTCAGCCAGATCTTTCCAAGAAAGATAACAAGCAAACAAAAGCACAGCAAAGAAATTGGTGATTTAATAAGTCATTTCATTTCCTCACCCAAGCGTGTGTCCGCCAGGCTGACGAGGAACAGGCTACAGAGGCAGCTAGTAGCAAGAACACACTTCCATAGTTTCAACCCTTTTACATGAATCCAGCTAAACACAGCTTTGGTTCCAAAGACAATACGGCAATGAGAAAAATGCTTCATTATCATCCATCTGTCCATCCGCTTACCCGGAGTCGGGTCGCGGGGGCAGCAGCGTAAGCCAAGAGGCCCAGACTCCCCTCTCCCCAGACTCAGGCCAGCTCCTCCGGAGGAATCCGAAGGCCTTCCCTGGCCAGCCGAGAGACAGTCTCTCCAGCGTGTCCTGGATCTTCCTAGAGGTCTCCTCCTGGTTGGACATACCTGGAAACCTCACCAGGGAGGAATCCTAACCACATGCCTGAGCCACCTCATCTGGCTCTTCTTGATGTGGAGGAGCAGCTGATGAACTCTGAACCGCTCCCGGAAGACTGAGCTTCTCATGGGTATCCGCAACCTTGTTCTTTTGGTCACAACTCAAAGCTTGTGACCACAGGTGAGAGTAGGAACATAGATCAGCCGGTAAATCGAGAGCTTCGCCTTCGGGCTCAGCTCTCTCTTCACCACGACAGGCCGGTACAACGCCCGCATCACTGCAGATGCAGCAGCATTCTACCTGTCGATCTCCCACTCCATCCCTCCCTCACTTATGAACAAGACCCTGGGATACTTAACCTCCTCCACTTGGGGCAGGACCTGACCCGGGGAAGGCATTCTACCCTTTTCTGACTTAAAACCATGGTCTCGGATTTAGTGGAGATGATTCTCATCCCAGCTGCTTCACACTTGACTGCAAACCGCTCCAGTGAGAGCTGCAGCTCACGTTCTGATCAAGCCAACAGGACCACATCATCTGCAGAGACCTGATCCTTAGACCATGAAAATGGATCCCCTCAACACCTCGGTTGTACCTAGAAGCCTTGTCCATAAGTTATGAAGAGAGTCGGTGACAAAGGGCAGCCTTGGCGGAGTCCTGGAGGGTGTGACCAACCAATCTACCCTGACCCGTTGCTCACACATCAGCAGGTACATGGCCTGTGTTTGATTTAGAGCTTTCTAGAGTCCTAGAGCCCCCCAAGGCACTTCACAACACAATCAGTCATTCACACGCTAGTGGTGATGAGCTACACTACAGCAACAGCTGCCTTGGGGCTGCTGATCACAGGCGCCACCGGTCCCTCTGACCACCACAGCGGGCAGGGCAGGTTGTGTCTTGCCCAAGGACACAACAGCAGCATTCTCTTTCTGGAGCCGGGATCAATCCTACAACCCTCCGATTACTGGACAACCCGCTCTACCTGCTGGGCTACTGCTGCCCAGGTGGATGCTTGATTCCTACAGCTCAGTGGGTCTCCTTTACTCCACCTTCCTCCACCACATTTTAATGGCTTTGCTTTAAAAGAGCTTCACAGTTAAAAAGAAAATCTCCCTTTAGGAAATGTTTTTCATCTGTTTTTGTAAACACACAGAACGTGCACATGCTCCCAGAGAAAAGCATAGCAGAGCCTGTAGACAGCAGCAGCGGTACTCACGTAGGGCGTACGTCAAGCCCTCGGGCTGGTCGTAGTGCACTATGGCTACACACAGTGTGTTGAGGCCAACCAGACACAGCACAGTCCAGTAGAAAGTCTGGGACTTGACCAGATGGCGGATGGTGAAGCGAATCCTCTTCTCTTTCCTCCTTAAGTAAGACGAGCTCTCCATCTTGCTCTTCACACTGGCTCGTGCAAACGGTGACTCTTGAGGAGCA